GAAACCACTTGTTTTTACGTTTTGCACCTTTCCTAAAGATTACCAATGACCTCCCTCCTGTCCTGCCTTCCTCGTGAGTGCTGGAAGTCTGACGAATACTTTGTTAACAATATTCTTTTCAGAGCTGATGTGTACGGATGTTCTGGTGAGCATAAGTTGTATTAGTTCTAAACCTTGACAAAGGACCTGACGTTTGACCCCTGCTTTAGCTTGTTCTTGTCTAACAATCGTGTCTTTTTTTTTCTGTCTACGAAAGCTCAGGTGACTCGGTCACACCTGGAGAATGGAGTATGGCAGAGTCCCTAAGGACATCCTCTCTTGTGAATTAAAGACGGGTAGAAGATGTCGAGAACTACCTCTACTAAATACAAAGATGTGTGCAAAGGGGACATGAATGATACAGTTACTGAGCTGGACCTGTGGGAACAAATGCCATGGAACGTACTGTGTGGAGGGGGCACACCAGGAAGGGAATGAGATTAAAGGAAGAAATGTTGACAACAATGGTCCTGAAACCCCCTGCTAAAATTGTGGAAGACTTTTCTTAGCGCAGGCGGGTCTTGCTAGTCGCACTCGCCATCGCCGTGGGCGGTTAGTCCTGCACTAGGGCGGAGAAGCCCTAAGTACTAAGATAAAAAATAAAGGAAAATAGTTCGTTAGGTGGGGACTAGAAACAAGAATATTCTAGTCCAGACACGAGATCTTCTGTGTAAAGTCTAATAAGCCAGGCAACAAATAAATAGACTACGCACACTAGCCACAAGTACTAATCCGAATCAAAAAGCTGGGACTATCAATATCACATTGACATCTATTTATTTCACTGAACATCATCTAAGGTCTTCACAAATAATAATGCATTAAAATTCACAACGTGTTAGAAAATACCCGACAACAGATGGAACCTATCTCTCTGCCTATACACCTCAACCCACGTTGCGTAAAACCATTGAACGCAACGGACAAATCAGAACTACATGTTTCTCGTCCTAAAACCAGTGGCATAAGAGAGCGAACTCAACACTTCCATCTGTTTTATCACTTCCTGACCCCCAAGTTGGCCAGGTTTTTAGGTCGCTTAAATAGGCCTAATTCAATTTATGTAACAGTCGTCCAGCGCCTATTTCAGTCCTATGCCTCCTCATAGAGCAATTTAACACTATCGCCTGGAGAAACGGAAAGGTGCCAGTCGTCATATAGATGCCAGCAAAAGGAGTGTGGCTTTAAGGTTTAACTTGGGCTCCATCATAGTGATTCTCTGCAATGACAGCATTTCTACCCCCCTCTGTCTCCAGAGTCTCGGCATCCGTGTTCAGCTAGTGTATGGACCCACGGACACTCAGGAGGTGCAGCTGCTGGGCAACTACACGCTGGATCTGTCGCGTAAGTAAGACTGTTGGTGATTGTTACAGCTAGTATTTGTTCACGATTGTTGCTTGTTACTGTGTTTTGTTGGCACCTTTCCGTCTTTTCGACAGTGCGCCACTGCCTTGGCACAAGAACTTAGGGGCTTCTTAGGGGGTGGGGTGGGTTGTTGGTGGTGGGGGGGGGGGAACAAGGGATTCCATCCTCAATAATAATCAGAGGACTGGGCCCTTGTTGCACACACACACACATACACACACACTTACACACACACACACACACGCAAATTGCAAGCAAGGAAAAAGGGGGGGGGGGGCCTAAGTGGTTCAAATTTCCATATATGGGTTTTCTCCTTTTATGTATTCGTTAATATATTTAGTAATATTTCAGATATATCATATTTATTTACCATTCGAGCCCAACATAACAAAACAAAACAAAAAGTGTTATTGTTAATTAGTGTGCCCGTAATTAAGCCTCGCCCCAGATATTATATGGGGCGCCGAGCCAAAGATTTGTTGTTTGCCTTAGGAAGCAGGCATGGGAATCACATCCAATGAAGCTGTTGATGAAGCTGTTGATGAAGCTGTTGATGAAGCTGTTGATGAAGCTGTTGATGAAGCTGTTGATGAAGCTGCTGATGAAGCTGTTGATAAAACTGTTAATGAAGCTGTTAATGTAGCTGTTAATGTAGCTGTTGATGAAGCTGTTGATGAAGCTGTTAATGTAGCTGTTGATGAAGCTGTTGATGAAGCTGTTGATGAAGCTGTTGATGAAGCTGTTAATGAAGCAACGACCGTTAATCTTGTTTACTGTAACTGGTTGTGTATAGCTGAAATACATTTTATGTTCTCTTCCCCCCCCCCCGCATTAGAAGCACGAACGAAAGGTATCTTTAAAGGATTACAATTAGGCCCGCATGCCCGTCTAACATTCTGCCCTTCCCGTCTACTCCTTACACTCAGTTGTTCATTCGTACCTTATTTCATAATTAACAATAATTTAACAAACACGTCACAACATCTCAGTCTCAATTACAAACGCTGGAATGTACTTTAATTATAATTATATTGCTGAACTTTAAAAAAATGTATAGTAATAAACTAAACATGTTATAAGTCTAATGGGTTGCATAATATTAACATCGTCAACACAATAAAATATTAGTTTGAGATGCTGAAATGCGTTCTACGGGCACCTTAATTTTTAATAAACAAAAATAACTTTTCGAGAAAACTGCAGATGGAATATATCGTGTGCTGAACCAGTAGTAATGAGGCATATAGTCTGCAGTTGGATAATAATCAGTTTCCGATTATATAGATATATATAAAGTGGTTAGTAGTATTTTTCCTCTGGACGATGATTCCACGTGATTTCAAGACCATTGTAATTACAGTTTTATTTCGTGGTGCATTGTTTGTTTTTAATTTAACATTTTCCCATTCAGATTTTATGACTATTTGTCAGAGCTGGCATGGGTTACTGTTATTGCTCATTACTTGTCAACAATTGTTAAATCCAGTTTAAGACAGTTGGATTCGAACGCCTGATAACGCGATGGAGTTGTTTCCTGTTGCAGAAAATGCACCACAACGTCATCAGAGTTCAGACCTTGTGTCGCACACCACCATCAAGGGGTTAACACAGGCCTCATGCGGGTTGGGGCACCATGTTGGAAGGTGAAGAACAGACTCACCACCCCACCTCCTTCCTTACAAGTATGTCGTAGAAGGCGGCTAATTAGGGTTGTTTGCTTCACAGTCGGCTGGCATATGGTCTAAGAGCAAGGACCCAACAGTCTGCAGATCAGTAAAACGAATGTGCAGGCAAAACTCAAGTTCTGGGTCAACACCGAAGTACAGAAGTGCAAGTGAAGGGCAGAGGATCCATTCTCCTCCCACCATAACAGGGCCCTGGAGTTCACACGAGGAATAGTGTTGATTATGATGATGATGATAAAATGATTTGATGATAATTATATGATGATGATGAGGATAATGATGATGATAATATATGATGATGATAATATGATGATGATAATGATTATGATGTAGATATGTAGAAATGTATGATAATAATGATGAGGATGAAGATGATATGATGCTGATGATAACGATGCAATCAACTGACCAGATTTACAGCGTGGGCCAAACAAAGACCAGGTTGGCTGGAGAACGTTTGACCTTGGGGCAGACGATCTTCTCAGAGTGAGTTTGCAGGTCAAGGTCAGTATTGCCGAGTGTGAGAGCTGTGGTTGTGGTGTATGATGTGGGGGTGGGGGGGGGGAAGGGGTGTCACGGACTGACTGACTAACTGACCGACCGATACACCAACCGACTAACTCCCTCACTCATTCACTCTTTCACTTATTCACTCTTTCACTAACTCACTCACTAACTACCCACATAACTGATTATTTCACTAACTCACTCTTTCACTCATTCACTCACTCACTCACCCACTCACTCACTAACTAACTCTTTCACTAACTCATTCACTCACTCACTCTCTCACCCACTCACTCACTAACTCACTCACAGGTATACTGCTCGCAGTTCTACCATGGGCCCAGCTGCTCCACCATGTGTACCCCCGTCACACCCCAGTACACCTGTGACGAGGCAGGTAGGCGCGTGTGTCTCGGGGTTTGGACAGGAACACTCTGTGACGTAGGTATGCACGGTGACCAGTTTAAGTGTCCCTGTTCACCGTATACAGTTGTTTTCCTTTAAAGTATTTACATTGTTTTTCCTTTGGAAAGAAAGATGTCAGTACTCACAACAAAGTCTCAATTTTTCTGTCCAATTCTTCAGCCCTATCTGTTTAAAATTAGTGGAAATAGAGCAAGAGGAAGGCACAGCGACAAACACATGGATGTCTTGACAACATGGATGGGGTGAGACAAGAACACAGACCTGCTCCATGATTGTAGACAAAGGAGATAGCTCACGCTTACTGGCGCGACACATGATGATGACCCTGCAAGCGGAGATCGGCTTTTGCCTCGTCTCTCTTAAACAGAACCCTCCCTCAATGTTTCCCCCAAGTACAGTTGCATACATTATAGAATATAGATTCCCAATTCCCAGCGTGGCCCCCGGTGCCACATATGGGCAAGGGGCGGGCGGGGGGAAGGGGGTAGATCCACTGCTTTTCTAATAAGCATGTCGTATGAGGCGATTACTTAGGGGTGTTTCATATGAGCGCACCTGCATGAGAGGCAAGGAACCTGCAGTCTGCATACAAATAAACCAGAGCCGTAAGAGGGATGTTCAAGCCAAAATTACTTGGTCTTCTGGAACAAGATCAAACTGTGATTGCATGTACTTATTATTCTATCTGTGATGTGTTGACATCACTACAGGGAATCCTTGCCTGTCTTATCCATGTCTACTCATTATTCTATCTGTGATGTGTTGACATCACTACAGGGAATCCTTGCCTGTCTTATCCATGTCTACTCATTATTCTATCTGTGATGTGTTGACATCACTACAGGGAATCCTTGCCTGTCTTATCCATGTCTACTCATTATTCTACCTGTGATGTGTTGACATCACTACAGGGAATCCTTGCCTGTCTTATCCTTGTCTACTCATTATTCTACCTGTGATGTGTTGACATCACTACAGGGAATCCTTGCCTGTCTTATCCATGTCTGAATGACGGCACATGCACGGTCGTAGGCACCTCCCATGTTTGCACGTGCAATGCTCTGTACACGGGAGCCGACTGTTCTCTAGGTAAGTGGCATCTGTCTGTCGTTATGTCTCTGTCTGTGATCATGTCTGTCTGTGTGCATGTCTGTCTGTGTGCCTGTCTTTCTGTGTGCCTGTCTGTCTGTGTGTATGTCTGTCTGTGTTCATGTCTGTCTGAGTGCATGTTTGTCTGTGTTCATGTGTGTCTGTGTGCATGTCTGTCTGTGTGCATGTCTGTCTGTGTTCATGTCTGTCTGTGTGCATGCTGTCTATGTGCATGTCTGTCTGTGTTCATGTCTGTCTGTGTTCATGTCTGTCTGTGTTCATGTTTGTCTGTGTGCATGTCTGTCTGTGTTCATGTCTGTCTGTGTTCATGTCTGTCTGTGTTCATGTCTGTCTGTGTGCATGTCTGTCTGTGTGTATGTCTGTCTGTGTTCATGTCTGTCTGAGTGCATGTTTGTCTGTGTGCATGTCTGTCTGTGTGCATGTCTGTCTGTGTGCATGTCTGTCTGTGTGCATGTCTGTCTGTGTTCATGTCTCTCTGTGTGCATGTCTGTGTGCATGTCTGTCTGTGTGCATGTCTGTCTGTGTGCATGTCTGTCTGTGTGCATGTCTGTCTGTGTTCATGTCTGTCTGTGTGCATGCTGTCTATGTGCAAGTCTGTCTGTGTGCATGCTGTCTATGTGCATGTCTTTCTGTGTTCATGCTGTCTGTGTGCATGTCTGTCTGTGTGCATGTCTGTCTGTGTGCATGTCTGTCTGTGTGCATGTCTTTCTGTGTGCATGCTGTCTCTGTGCATGTCTGTCTGTGTGCATGTCTGTCTGTGTGCATGTCTGTCTGTGTGCATGTCTGCTGTGTGCATGTCTGTCTGTGTTCATGTCTGTCTGTGTTCATGTCTGTCTGAGTGCATGTCTGCCTGTGTTCATGTATGTCTGTGTTCATGTATATCTGTGTTCATGTCTGTCTGTGTGCATGTCTGTCTGTGTTCATGTATGTCTGTGTGTATGTCTGTGTCTGTGTCTTCCTGTCTGCTGTGTGCATGTCTGTCTGTATGCATGTCTGTCTGTGTGCATGTCTGTCTGTGTGCATGCTGCCTATGTGCATGTCTGTCTGTGTGCATGTCTGCTGTGTTCATGTCTGCTGTTTTCATGTCTGTCTGTGTTCATGTCTGTCTGTGTGCATGTCTGTCTGTGTAAATGTCTGTCTGTGTGCATGTCTGTCTGTATGCATGTCTGTCTGTGTGCCTGTCTTTCTGTGTGCCTGTCTGTCTGTGTGTATGTCTGTCTGTGTTCATGTCTGTCTGAGTGCATGTTTGTCTGTGTTCATGTGTGTCTGTGTGCATGTCTGTCTGTGTGCATGTCTGTCTGTGTTCATGTCTGTCTGAGTGCATGTTTGTCTGTGTTCATGTGTGTCTGTGTGCATGTCTGTCTGTGTGCATGTCTGTCTGTGTTCATGTCTGTCTGTGTGCATGCTGTCTATGTGCATGTCTGTCTGTGTTCATGTCTGTCTGTGTTCATGTCTGTCTGTGTTCATGTTTGTCTGTGTGCATGTCTGTCTGTGTTCATGTCTGTCTGTGTTCATGTCTGTCTGTGTGCATGTCTGTCTGTGTGTATGTCTGTCTGTGTTCATGTCTGTCTGAGTGCATGTTTGTCTGTGTGCATGTCTGTCTGTGTGCATGTCTGTCTGTGTGCATGTCTGTCTGTGTGCATGTCTGTCTGTGTGCATGTCTGTCTGTGTTCATGTCTCTCTGTGTGCATGTATGTGTGCATGTCTGTCTGTGTGCATGTCTGTCTGTGTGCTTGTCTGTCTGTGTGCATGTCTGTCTGTGTTCATGTCTGTCTGTGTGCATGCTGTCTATGTGCAAGTCTGTCTGTGTGCATGCTGTCTATGTGCATGTCTTTCTGTGTTCATGCTGTCTGTGTGCATGTCTGTCTGTGTGCATGTCTGTCTGTGTGCATGTCTGTCTGTGTGCATGTCTCTCTGTGTGCATGCTGTCTCTGTGCATGTCTGTCTGTGTGCATGTCTGTCTGTGTGCATGTCTGTCTGTGTGCATGTCTGCTGTGTGCATGTCTGTCTGTGTTCATGTCTGTCTGTGTTCATGTCTGTCTGAGTGCATGTCTGCCTGTGTTCATGTATGTCTGTGTTCATGTATATCTGTGTTCATGTCTGTCTGTGTGCATGTCTGTCTGTGTTCATGTATGTCTGTGTTTATGTCTGTCTGTGTTCCTGTCTGCTGTGTGCATGTCTGTCTGTATGCATGTCTGTCTGTGTGCATGTCTGTCTGTGTGCATGCTGCCTATGTGCATGTCTGTCTGTGTGCATGTCTGCTGTGTTCATGTCTGCTGTTTTCATGTCTGTCTGTGTTCATGTCTGTCTGTGTGCATGTCTGTCTGTGTAAATGTCTGTCTGTGTGCATGTCTGTCTGTATGCATGT